ATAATATTATGGAAGTCAAAGATCAGTTCAATGAAGATGAAATTAAAAATATAATATTATAAAAGCAATATTTTGGTTGTATTGACGTATGGTACAGAGATAGATCTATGTAGAAAAAAACCCAAAACAATTCAACGAAAATTAAAAATGTTCCAAAAAAATGTTCGCGTAGAATTTTACTAATGAAATGGATTGAATTTATTACAAATAATGAAGTGTTGGAAAGAGCTGAAATTTAAGATATAAACACAACAATTTTAAAAAAGAAGATAGGGATATCTGGGACATGTTCTGAGAACGTCAAAGACAAGACGTGGCATTGGCAATCAACAGGAAAGAGAAAGCGGGGAAGACCAACTAGAAGCTGTAGAGGCACAACAAGAGATGAGGCAATCACCCAGGGCCTAGATGGGCCAAAATTGGAGGACGTGGCCGGGGACGAGCAGGCATGGCGTCGACTGCTCTTCGCCTTATAATATTTCGTTTAGTTTACCCTTGCATAAATTCAGCAACAAAAGGAAAGCTAACAAAAACAAAACAAAAACAAACCAACAACAACAAAAAACACTTCCTACACCACCACCCACCACCCTTTTTCAAAAGAAAACAAAAAACCTTTTGAATTCGCCTTATAGCAGTCCTAAGTCTGAGATCAGCCCCAGTTTGGATCCCCGAGGGGAATGAAATGATTTGTTTTCTTTATTTTTTTTGGTCTCGTATCCTGATTTTTGTGCCGATATTTGTAGGTCACGTAAAAATGTATTGGCATGGTGCAAATTGTTATATTTTCTAGAAAAACGAAACAAGAAATAGGGAAATTGGTTTTTTTGTTTTTTGTTTTTGTAAAGTGTTTTACGGCGCTCGCAACTGCATAGGTCATGTGAGCGCGCGGGACACTCCTAATATTTTCAGTTGGTAGGAAATTTTGAATTTTGCCCGGGTGGCGGCCGAAGCCTACTCTTATCGATTTTGGACAAAGAAGGGATCTTTAACGTGCAAAACTTGCACACGGGACCTCCGAGATTTTTCGCCCTTGTCCGAGAAGGCTAGGTGTAGATCTTTCCTACCAGAAGATCAGGGGTGTGGCAGAAAGACAGCAGTAAGGAGGAGCCAAGGAGTAGCAGTAGAAAGGCTGCAGAAAGAGTCAGGAGCCCAGAGGAGGGGGCAAAGGAGGTGAGGGGGTGGGGGCAGAAAGTGGACATGAAAGCAGACAACAGAACATTGCTAGAGAGTAGGAATGGAGGTGAAAGGAGACAATTTTAGAGAAGAAAATTTTTCGGTCGCTACCCGGATTCGAATCCGAGACCTTTGAATGAGAGGCCAAAACCTTAACCTCTAGGCCACGAGAACCCCCGAAATTGTTTAGTCGGTGATGATGATGATGATGATGATGATGATGATGATGATGATGATGATGATGATGATGATGATGGCGGTGGCGGTGTCGGTTGCGGTGGAGGTGGTTGTGATGATGATGCTCTAATTTTGGAAATAAAGAGCATATTAGTGTTAGTGTTGAGTGTGTCCATTGTTTTGGGGGTTTGTTTGTTTGGTGCTTATTCTAGATCCCCGCCAGGCTGTCCTGGGGGCAGGACACTCCCCTCCTTCCCAACTCCTTTCGTAGAGTGACCTAACATTTGGAAATAATTTGTCATCTTCATCCCTGGCATTTAATAAAAGTATGCCCAAAAATCACACGAGGGCCTCTTCTAAGTGATGATGTTGTCAGTGTGTTTGTTACCCTACGTCTGTGCTATCATATTTTAGAAACAGTGAAAGGAGTGTGGCCAATAACCTTTGTATTAATTGTCCTAGTCAATGCAGTTGCGTTCCGTAACAAAAGGCTAACACGTCTAGACTAACAGTGTTACTTATGTGCTTACAAGTTATCGCTGTCGACATTCACAACCGATCTAGAGGCACTTCTGTGATCGCCGGAGCATGTAAAAAGCCTGAAAAGCCATGCCCAGTCGACCAGAGAATTACAGGGTCGCCTCTTCTTAAAGTGATACCAGAAAATTCACAAATAGTATGTAAATCTATTAAAAAATATACACACAAAAGGCAACACACAGTACTGGAGGACCGGAAGCGAAATTGCGTCCAGCGACAACTCAGACACCACGAGCATTAATTAAATTGTAAAGTCCCCATCTCCAAAGGAATAGTACATTTGTGAGGCAGCGTGGTGGAATCAGGCTCTCGTCAAAATAATCAAAGTGAAGATACTTGCATTTTTTCCCAGGTTTGTGTATTTTTTAAAATCAAAATTTTGTTTTTTGGCTCAACACCTTTCATGCCCATTCAAAAACTCATTTCTGTTTACATTTTTCTGAAAAAACGTTGATTACAGGCACAAAAAAATGTAAATTTTCAGTTACCACGGACTCTTAAGCTAAGGAATAACTAATCTTTGGCGACCAATTTCTCACTAATTTCACCCCTGAAAACAGGTGTCTGTCTTTTCCGTGCCCCCCCCCCTCTGTCTGTCTGTCTGTCTG